GAATCAAATTGAGACATTGGAATGGCCAGGGAACTCTCCGGATATCAACCCAATTGAGAATCTCTGGACCATATGTAAGAATCGCCTATTAAATATGGACTGTACAACTATGGAGAAGCTAATCACGGCGTTAATTCATGTGTGGTACAAGGACACAAATATTATAAATGACTGTAAAAAATTAGTTGAATCCATGACGAATCGTGCCCAAATGTTAATAAAGTGTCGTGGAGATCATATTATGTACTAAAAATTTTTGAGTTTGTATAAATTTAAATAAAATAGCATTTTCTCTTAGTTTTCTGAATTTATTGAGTTTGTTTCAATTAATTTGCACAAGGGTGTAGTATTAATAGATATTAAATTATACACTGAGAAAAAAAAAGTGTGGTAAAAAATAACAGAATATGGTAATATTTACTGTGTTTCTGTGTCTATGGGAACACCAAAAAGAGCGGTAATTTTTACAATTAAATATTATTAAAATTAACAATTAAATATTATTTTATAATCTGAGTTAAAATTTGGTAAATATGTCTAAATTTGGTAATTTTATCATCCTACATTAGATCAGTTATTTTGTTAAATATAATTTTCAGTTTTGCACTTTTACTAAATGTGTGGTAATAATAACTATAGTTATGAAAACTGAAATTCTCGGTTAACCGTTACCATATGCAGTGCCCCCCATCCCCCCAAGCTCTTGGGTACATTCACCCCCCCCAAAAAAAAAATTTGCTAATTTCCCTTTTCCTGAGTTCGAAATAGTGCTACGTTGCTTCTTTTATTTATGTACTTAAAAAAAATAAAAAATTCTCTCGTCTAAATTCCCCCCCAAACTATTCGTTTTATTTAGTGTAAAAATTCCTCCCCAAGCTTTAAGTGGGAGCATCGTGCGCCCACCTTCCCCCCTGATGGGGGTCCCGACCATATGAAGGGTAACCGTTATGAATATGAATGGTTTAAATACCTTATAATTTGGGTTTTATTACCAGAATTATAGTTTATTTCATGTCTTTATCATACAGTACGGTATTTTTACTAGAATTTTTTTCTCATCGCGTATAATTGCACAGATATTATTAATTCTAAAACCATCAATAAATTGTATTTATAGTTTAAAATAGTCATGAATATTTAAAACAAAAGCAGCTATTTCTCTTTTTCGAACGTATTTAAAACACAAAAAATCCAATTTAAAATTACAGGTAAATTTTTTACTGTAAAGAACTTGCTATTTTGTCAACAGTTTAGCATTGTTGAAATGAAACTAGACATATTGTCAGACATGACATGAAACTACAATAGTTACGTTTATCTTGCCAACTTGTCAACATTTTTGTCACTTAAATGAAACATCAACAAAATCTATCTATGGACAGAAGAGTTGTGGATGGTAAAAGAGAGTTTTTGACAGTATGAAAGTTTTGGAACGAAAGTTTTTGACAGTATGTTTGTTTTGGACGAAATGGTTTTATACAAAAAGGTTTTTAGCAATGCTTTTATCGTGGGTTTTACTGTATTAAAAACTTCGCATTTAGATATCTGATACCAAACTGCCCGAGTACTTTATTTCGTTTATTTACTGCTTAATGTTTATTTACTACTTTATTCGTTTATTTCTGCTTTATTCGTTTATTTAAATGTGATAATTAATACGATAAAATTACGTTTAGGTGAATTTTTTTCATTTCTTATAATGATTTTGATTCAAAGTAAATTGTTTACATTTTATACAATAGCTAAACCATAATGTCCAAAAACTACGTTAACTCTTATTTCTTACACCAAATCATTTGAGTTTCTTCTTTTTATACAGCTTGGATGTAGTGATTAAAATTTAATATTTACGTAATTTTTTCATGAATGAATAGTTTAATTTTATTTGAATTAAAATATTTTTTTAGACAAGAAGCTAATTTCGATTCAATTTTAAATAATTTTAGTTTATTATTTTTTTTTCACTAATCTAACAATTTTATCAGAAGTTCGAGTTTTCTTTTGAAAAACTTGTGTACTATAAAATATTTATAAAGCTCCAGAAGAATACAATTGCTATTAAAATATCTCCGTCCGTTATAGTCAGTTTATAATTACAAATATCCAATGCATGATTTCAAAAAAAAATTTTTAAGTAACAAAGCAATATTTACGAATTGTATGAGCAGTCAACAGCTATTTATATGATAAAAATCAAAAACAAAATTCTTAAAAAAAAAACAAAATATTTGGAATAATATACGTTCGAGCATTATTTTTGTTAAATTTTCTTCGTTAGACTTGTATACGACCAATAGAATATTTTATTTATATACAACTGATTAAGATCAGAAAATTTTGATTAAATTATATTCAATTTAAAAGAGAAAATATGTTATCTATAAACTTACCGACTCTGATGAATCTTTAATTTTCCACACATTGTTCCAAACCGATGGATCACTGTTTTCGTCGTCGATTTGCATCGGAAAACGATAACTATACCCAAATTTTCGCAATTACAACTGCAGACGATAAAAACGCAACGTTGAAGTGAGTTGAGCAGAACAGATGCTGTTTCTCATCTCATATTGTCACACCAATGGAAGGTGTTTACCTAAAACATCGAACTGTTCCCACCAACCGTTAGATAATAAATTCGAAAAGATCACAAGCTTCACTGCACGGGAATTTTTCATGTAACGAAAAATGTCACTATAACGAAATCGAATGCAGCAGAAGCAGCCGCTGATACTGCATATTTCAAATTGAAAGCACCGATTGCATTGTTCGATTGCTTGTAAAGTAGTTCAAGACTTTATGCATATCCACGCACCTATTCCATGAAACTATCATTTATTCCTGGAGTGACGTAAAAGAAAAAGCAATATTTTACCGCACGTAATGAAAACGAAACAAAAAAGAAAGTGAAAATTCGGAAGGGAGAGGAAGGTGAAGGAAAGGAAGGATATTCATTGGACGAAACAAAAGCAACTTTCAAATCAGCATTTACAACTTTTTTATGCATTTTCTCTTGGAAGAACAATGCCTACGCATCAAACTTGGACGCGCGTTTGAAAGGCGTTGCTTGAAATAGTGGTGTAAATGTACTCACAGCGCCCTGCAGCGGAAAAATTCTTTGAAAGTTCTTATGTAGATCTATCACCCAATGAATAAATCAATCGTTTTGTTTATTTAGTTAAGTCAATCTCATTATGATAAATGATAAATAAATAATAGAATCTTACATTTAAATAAATTGTTTATGAAGTAATTAGAATTTTTCACTTGTGAATCAACATGGAAAAATATTCTTTAATAAGATAGAAATACGATAAAGGAATACGCATAATTAAAAAACTTGAAAATACGCAGGAGTTACGATTTCCAATTTTTCTCTGCAATCCTAAATGATGAAGTATTTTCTGGTAGGATCCCGACATTATGAATGAAGTTCATTAGCAGCTGTAAATATACTAAAAGAAACACGGCTAATTATTATGAAAATATTTAATTTTACGACTGAAACATTTTCATCGTTTTTCAATAATAGTTTATAAGGTTCAATAGTTTCCAATGTAGGTTTTATTTCAAACAGTTGAATTTACAGGTCTGAAGTGGCATCTGAATTTGTTCTTAGTGTATAAGCTAAAATTAAATAATAAAAGCTGAATAATAATTTTCGAAAAAAAAATATTTTATAAACGTTGAGAATAGGTATCAGAGAAACATATGAAACATAAATATACTATATTCAACAATAAAGAATTATATAATTCTTTATTGTTGAATATAGTATATTAATTTTGAATGGAAAATTTAGATGAGAAATACTGATAAATGTTTTTACAAATATATATCCTTTTTTATAGTTTATTCAATATGTTGTTATTGAAAAAAAAAATTTTGTTGCTATTTTTCCTTTAGATTTTTTCTTAAATAATTTAATTTCCTATAAAAATCTGAAATATTGAATAAGTTATAGATTATTAATTGGATATAAATAAAGTTACAAGTTTAAAACATCATTCCTTGTTAAGAAAGAATAAAAAAAAGTTTAAACTCTTCATCGCTAGGATTCCGCGGAGTAGCTTTTGAGTTCCTTTGCACTAGACCTAGAACAGAATGACGGAAATAAGCATTTAAGTTAGTTGGTGTAGAGTTAGCAGGACATCAATAAAAAAGAAACATTAAAAAGAGAGAAAGATCTAGTTAGTGATTTATGTCCTCTCATAAGCCTATACGTGTCTTATTTCCAATTTCTGAGCTTGCAAACTTTGAGCTTAAAAGGGGTGTAAAATAATACAGAAAAAGTGCTTATGTTAACTTTATGGAAATATCTAGAAGCTTAATATCTAATAGCAAAAAATTTGGTAATTTTTTCTTGTCAAAATCATTAGTACATTTTTAAAAATTAAGATGAATGTTTTGAAAAATGGTTTTAAGAAATTTATAATTATTTTGTATCAACCGAAATAGGTACAAGCGAATAGTGAAAACACGAATGAAGGAAATTGAAAATCTTATTCCATTTTAAAAACTCTTTAGTTTTATTTTTACTGAGATACATATACATATTTTTATACGTATTTTTTAATACATATAGGGGAGAGTGGGGTCAATTGTAAAATTTTTTACTTAACTATTTTTAACTTACAAAAAATCTAATATATTATTATAGTATTCATTGACAGACGAGTAAAGTAGCTATCCTCTACTAGAAAAAAAAATAAATAACCAAATTCATAATAAAAAAAATAAATAACCTAAATTCAACCAAAACATAGTTAATTATACACATTATCATAGTTGTGATATATTTTTTATTGATCAAAATAGTAGTGATATTTTAGGAGAAAAATAATAATGAGCAGAGACCTAAAGGGTTAAACTTTTAACGTTAAGGGGTTAAAAATTTTAATTTATGCTGTGAAAGGTGACAAATAAAATAACGCACATGCAGCATAATATAAATTATATAGAAAACTATTGGTGGTTCTTAAAGAGTTAAGTAATGGTTTGTAAACATAAGATTATTTATTTTCAGCTGTTACAATCGTCCCTTTACTTTATTGTTACAATCGTCCCCAAGACGCCATTTCAGCTTCATTTGTTAAAAACAATGCTAGTTAATTAACAAAATTAATCTTTTTTTTGGAAATGTTAATTTAGGTGTCCACTTACATATTCGTATAATAATTTTTATTTGTTTGAACAAAATTACTTTGTTACAATATAATATTCAAAAAACCAAAAAAAAAAAGTACTTACGTAGCGTGAAAATATCTTTTGTGATGTAACTCTTTCAAAAGTACACAAAAATGGTTGCCAGCTGGGGTGTACATGTAGATTTATTAAATACTACTTGTGCGCCACCTAGGAATCAAATCTAGAACCAGACACTCGAAATTTTTGCTCTGTTACAATCGTACCCTGTTACAATTGACCCCACTCTCCCCTACATATATTTTTACACATACATATTTTTTTTAATTAGTAAATAAAGTCTATGCTGTAACAAACAAGTGTGAATTATTAACTTAATATTACTATAAATGATTTTTAATCGAAGAAAATGAATAGTTCAAAAATTGTTATTTAAAAACTGTCGTTTTAATCGTGTTTATCGGTAAAATATTTTCATGATTAAAAGTGGCACAATTTCAAATAATTTGGAAAATAATCTTTTAAGTTGTGCTACTGTAAAAAGGAATAAAGGATGAGAAATAAATTGGTCTCACTAGCACAAAGGGATCTTCTTCCTTTAAACAGTTATAGAACCACATTTATTATTTTCTATTAGCTTATAAAACTATAAATTGAAAGAAAAATGGAATTACTAGACATTTTTTATGGAGACATCTTAAGCATTTCTTGTTTTTGTGATCAACTGTTGTGAATTTTAGAAATAAAAATAAATAAAAAAAGAAATAGTTTTTTTTCAAATTTTATTTAGACAGCATAAAATTTACTTTCACCAGAGTCGCAGTTTTCATTTAAAAATATGCGACATAATAGAAAACCTACTACGGGCATCGATTGAGATTGAATTAAATAGAAATCCTTTTTTTGAAAGCAATTACAAAGTGCACCAGAGACATTAGAAAAATGTAAAGTAAAATATATATAACAGGGCTGAACAGCTAATCCAATTATGAATTTACGACCATCTATCTATTGGTTTAGTTTTAGACGGAGAAATATTAGTATATCTTTTTTAAATCATCGCACAATGATTAAAAATTATTGAACCGGTCTGCTGATTTATTTTTTTACACACCGTAAACAAGTTATGGCATTAGTTTTTGCAGAATTATCTGTATTAATCATGTGTTATATTTATATATAGTATTATACTATACTAATCTGAAAATAAATATTTTTTTTATTCTTCTATAAAAAATTTCTACTGCTAAGCTTATAAAGTATCTCCATGAAATACATTATGATTCTATGAACTTTGCTACTTTTCGTTACTTTTTACTGTTCCGAAATAAACCTAAACAATGCCTAATAAATGCTTTTACGAGCTATTCCACAAAATCTGATACACACCGCCGTTTCTAACACTCGAATATAAAAATAATCGTAATACGATATAAAATTGCGACATTACAAAGATACTGAAACGAAAACAGTTCAGGCACATATATTTATTTTCTGCCTTTAATGCAAATGGATTTATAAATAGATGTTATTACACTGTTTTTACATTTATAACAATAGATGTCAGCGCATTGATATGTACATTGAATACCTGAATAACTTTTGATTTAATGATTGGTTTTTACATTTATAACAATTGATGTAAACGCATTGATATGTTCATTGAATATCATGTATAACTTTTGATCTAATGACCGGATTTTCCCGTACTGAGAATCACATACTAAAGTTTGAGGGCTTAACCTTAAGTATGCTAATTAGTTAGTACGGACGATATCTTCAGTTAAGTAAACAGACACAAGAATGTATTTCTTCTAAATAAACATTCCTTTATTGATGGATTTGAATTGACGCTGTCTGGATATCCGCAATCTGGAAAATTGTTTCGACAGAAAAATAGTAGTAAGTTAGGACCCCTCAATGTTAATTTAAATTTTTTGAGTATCTTTCTTTAACTCTAGAATTTTTTAATCGAAACGAAGGAACTTTTGCGCTCAATGATTAAATTCGCTTATTCAAAGTTCACTTCAAGCAAAAAATAATAATTTATTATTTTATTTAATAATAGCCGAAATATTTTCAACTGTAAAGTATACAAATTTTTAAATGATTTCAAAGTATGTAATTTTAAATGGCAAAATATTAACGGCATAATACAAATTTTAATGGCATAATACAAATTTTAATGGCATAATACAAATTTTAATGGCAAAATACAAATTTTGGACAACATCGGTTGAATAGTTCTAGCGTAATTAAATTTTTTAAATATACAACTTGTAAATTTAATAACTCAGAAACTATTTTACGGATTTCGTTCAAATTTCGTATTTGTTATTGCAAATTATTCTATTTTAAACACAATAAAAAGCATAATAAATAGAATTTTTTTACTATTTTGATAGTGAAAGCTTTATAAAATGATGTAAAAATCTCTGTAGGAATAAAAACAAAGTAAATAAGTATTATAAATTATTTTTTAAGTGGAATTATCTTTACATAAATTAATTTTATCTCTACGTAAATGAAATTTTCGAAATATAAGGAAATTAAATGGTATCAATGAACCTAAACTTTCATCCGATCTCTATTGCCTAAACTAATGGGACTTTATTTTAAAGGAGGCAGCTGCTGCCCTCCCCCCATATTTTGAGGGTCAAGAATCCAAATTCGTCAGAAGAAAATGCGTTTTTATGTCGTGTTCATATGTTAATATATCGTTTGTTTGAATTAATTAGCACATTTAAGGTATCCTCGAATCATAAAAATTGATCCCTACGGGAAAATCCGATTATTAGATTAAAAGATATTAAAGGCGTTATAACTACTCCCCGTACTACAAGACATACAAATATACGAACTGCAATAAATAAAATTCGACTCCTAAAATATAATATTTTTTTATGTTTTTAATATTCTGT